AACACGCTGACGGCAGGGCAGACCCAGGAGGTGGTGCAGGGCACTGCTGCCAATGCTGATTTGCATGCCATCCCGGTTTGGGGACCCTGACACCCTACTGAATGAGGCCCTGGGAGGGCAGGCCCAGAAAATGCATGGGCTGGCCTGGGCAGCAATGCTGTGGTTTTGTCAGGCACGGCAGAACACGCTGACGGCAGGGCAGACCCAGGAGGTGGTGCAGGGCACTGCTGCCAATGCTGATTTGCATGCCATCCCGGTTTGGGGACCCTGACACCCTACTGAATGAGGCCCTGGGAGGGCAGGCCCAGAAAATGCATGGGCTGGCCTGGGCAGCAATGCTGTGGTTTTGTCAGGCACAGCAGAACACGCTGACGGCAGGGCAGACCCAGGAGGTGGTGCAGGGCACTGCTGCCAATGCTGATTTGCATGCCATCCCGGTTTGGGGACCCTGACACCCTACTGAATGAGGCCCTGGGAGGGCAGGCCCAGAAAATGCATGGGCTGGCCTGGGCAGCAATGCTGTGGTTTTGTCAGGCACGGCAGAACACGCTGACGGCAGGGCAGACCCAGGAGGTGGTGCAGGGCACTGCTGCCAATGCTGATTTGCATGCCATCCCGGTTTGGGGACCCTGACACCCTACTGAATGAGGCCCTGGGAGGGCAGGCCCAGAAAATGCATGGGCTGGCCTGGGCAGCAAAATGCAAATGTTGCTTTCTGCATTGCACGTGGGTGGCAGGTGGCAATCAAGGTGCTCAGGGCTTGCACTGCTGCAATTTCCCCGCTTTGGTACACGCTTCATGAGTTCCTCTCTAGCTTTTGTCGCTGCAGGCGAACGTTAATGGCTCCGTTTTCGGTAAGTCAATGCCCAAGGTGCAGCTGCGGTTGGCCGCCTACTCCAGTCTGCCCTGAAATCTCTTCGCATGCGTCATGATTCGCATCTGAGCTTGACGAATGGGGGGAGGATTGCGGCCGGGAGGGTGTGTCAGTTGCGCGCCAGGCTGGACGGTTGCCGCGCGCACAGAGGCTCCCTCGGG